GTATTTAAATAATTAATTTATTTATAAGCGTAAAAATTATTAAAAAAGTGTTACTTATTAAAAAAAAAATTAATATAAAATTAATATTGTAAATATAATAAATTGTGAAAAAAAGAAAATTTTGTCTTGTGCGAATATTTTAGTAGAGAAAATTGGAATACGATATATTCAAAAATGTAAACTTGTTTCGAACAGAATAAAGATTCCTCCGAATGCTGGAGAAGTAATGCGCCAGAAAATTTCTTATAATGATTGCTTATGATGATAGAACACCGCTACGAGTTCATAATTCTTTCCCGGGGCGCCGAAATAACGAGCGCAAGTCAACGAATCCACCGGTAATATGGAAAAAGGAAGCCGGAGAAAGAAGTCTGCGCCGAGAAAAAAAGCTCGCGGCGAAAGTAAAATTCAAAGTCAATTTACTCTCGACAATCACCGCGATCACGGCGGTAGTGACTGTGTATTAAGTATTAAAAAGCCTTTCTGTGATTCTCAAATCACCCCAAGTTACTTACTTTTACGTACGATTCATAGACAAATTCACCCAATCGATCGACTTTCTCATGATTAAGAGTCGATTTTCTTCTCTGCGCTAGCAAGCATACAACTATAATATTATAATGTGCTTATAATGTTATACGTTAAAATAATGCATGTCACGGACTGCATTTACAGAACAATCATAGAAATTAAAACGGATCGAAATAAACTGAAATCATCGTTGTTTATATATTCCGTTTCTGTGTTTGATATTTTACATGTCATCAAATCATGAAGATTATGACAGCTTAATAGGCGATATTGTGTCCTAATATAAAATGCAAAAATACGCGGAAATGAAAGATTAATTGTAAGTTATATGCGCGACCGCAATCATTTCGAGTGCACATACACCCATTTCCGGTCGCAATATAATGTTTTTTTTTTTTTATGTGAGATTGTTGCGTCAAGAAAAAGAGAGGGATCATTCTCTTCCTCCTTTTACGACGGTCAAAACTACTACGACCGGAGAAACAGCAGCAGTCTATTTCCGATTTCCCTTTCGCTGCCATTTTTCTGCCGTTGCCATGTATTTATGCTCTCTCTATCGTCGTTTTATGCTCTTTAAGCAGAACAGGAAGACATTGTTATTGCATTATTTTTTTTTTTTTCATATTGAAAGCCTTTATTTATTTTGTTTTCACGCTCACTGGCTGTCTTTGCTTTATGTCGGGATGTCATAATTAAAATGTATTCTTCACTAGCTTAAGAGTCTTTTCTCTTTTTTAGCAAAGAGAATAGAATTCGCTCTTTACTTTTGCTATATTCATCTCTTTTATGCGAAGTCCTCTGTTAGCTTTACCTCGCTTTTGCGATAAAACATATTATTATATAATATATATTATCTATTGTATCAATATAAATAAAATTTACAAAAATGGACAAAGAAAAAAACTTCTTTCTCAATAATTTTATTTATATTAATAAGGTGAAATGCGGAATAAGATATATTTTTTAACAATGTTACTAAGTACTTGAACATGGTGAGCATTTTACTAAGCGCAGGAAAGTGTTTGATATGTTAAAATCTGTATTATTATACTGTAAGCAAATTACGTATAATCACAACGCAACGTTTAATAGCAAGCAGTAAATCATTTTAAAAATTAATGGCTTTTATAAAATACGGTATTTTTTAAAATCATATTTGAAAAATTCATGACGAGATCATACGCAATTGTAAAAATAATGAGCGTAATATTTGAACCGTTAAAATCTCTCTATTGCTTTAATTTATTATAGATATCTCAAATAACAGACCAAATTACTAAAACATTATATAAAACTAATAATTAACATTTAAATTACAATAGCGCAATTTTTTTCACTTATCGATTTCGCTTTTTACAAAAAACTAAGAAATGGAAATGGTAGTGTATAACAGTTATTTACAGAATAATATTGATTTATTGTCAGACAAGCTATAATCTGCTAAACATTTAAGTAAACACTTATATATGAATGTTTCCATATTGATTAATAATCATCTAATTTAAATTTGTGAGAACAAATATTTGTAATAGAATTTGACATTTTTTATGTAAAAGAAATTAAACTTAGATATAAAAATATTGTATAAAAATTAAATAAAATTTAATAGCCATTTCTTAGATAAAACATAAAGAACGTTTTATTTTGTTAAAACATTTCAATATACATATATAACTTATTGTTGTAATAAAATAGAATATTTTCTTCTCATATTGTGTATTTATGTGTGTTTCTGAATAAACTGAATATAAAAATAATAACAACAACAAACAATCATGCTTCTGTAAACACAAAGAAATCAATGACTTTTGTGTACAATGGTCTTGTAGATCGGAATCTTGATCGGAATTGGCTTTTCTACCGGTACGGGCACGTGTTTCACCACATGAAACGGTACCGGTTTCTCTATCTTAACCGGAATTATTTTCTCGACGGGCGTTGGTACTTTTTTCTCGACTGTCTTAATTATTTGCTTCTCTACCTAGAAAGACAGAATAATTTCAGCGAGAGCAGATAATAACAAATGATTTTACTCTGTCAGATAAAAGCTAATTATCGTGCCACAGCGTGCAATCACCTCATATGGTACGGGCTTTGGAATCACCACGGTAACAGGATAAGGTTGTGGAACTGTCTGCACCACTGGATGAGGAATACTAATCGGGACCTTTTTGATCGTCGGTATTCCTATGTAAAAAACACAAATTATATTCCAAATATAACGTTTAATAATTAGTTAATAAAATAGCAATAAAATAATGCAATAAACTTAATTCAAATATATATGTATATGTTTTACATATTAGTTTTATTGTTTTCTAATCTTTATTATCTTTTAATCTTAATATAATTATTGATTTTTTATTGATATTACATCCTTATAAAAAAATTTTTTTGACTTTTAAATTTTTAAATTATTTTCTATTTTTATAAATCAATGAATTTCTAATATTTTTTTTATTAAGATGCAATTTTTTTTAACATAATGTTAATAATATGTAAATGTAGTAGAATATAATAATAGAATTAACGCAATTTATATTACCAATGTGTTTAACAACAGGAATTACTTTAACTCCATGAAAATTGCTAGTGTCCGAATGCCAACCACTAATGTCATTTAAAAGGGGCGATTGATCTCCCAAAAAATCTAAGGAATGGCTTCCTAAAAAAATTTAGAATTATGCTTTAGCATTTATAACGAGATATTTAAACAATCAACAAATTGTCATATCAAGCGATGCGGTAGCGTCACGACGCCAAGTACTATAATTACTGAAAATTTGATATCTAGCTATACTATTATCAATTTTACTTAACTTATACACAAAAAATGCATTTTAGAGATAAATTGTGCAATTAATAAGTAACCAAACATAAATGTTCAAACCTGTTCCTCCCAGATTAAAAGTTCCCAAATCATGATGGTCTATAGAGATTTCTCCTAGTGTAAGCTCACCTCCGCCATAATTTCCAAAGCCCCAGTTGGAACTATAGGAACAAGCGACAATTCCCAACAGCACAATCTTAAACATAATAAACGTCACCAATACCGCAAAAAATATAAAGCATCTCTACTATTATCGATTTCTCGGGAGAAATCAATTGTTGTACAGATCGCACAGAAAACGCGTTTTATCAATTCACTTAAAATCCTAAATAATTTTAAAGATATTAATTGTTAAATTTACGAGCTTTTGCATATCTTATTACCTAACCGAGACGGGCGTTTACGTACAATTTTTTTCATTGCTTAGCTAAGATATTTATATCTCTATCGTCCACATCAATAAGTAGATCTACTCGGAAAAGATTCATTTTGTCATCACCTTATATACCGCTTGAACAGAGAAACAAGCAACCCCACTATTCGTTGGTCTCCCATACCTTCACAAAATGCCATAGATAGCTCGATTATGGAACCAATCGGTTGCAGTGATAAGTACGAACGTTACGTAACGTTTAATATATAATTCCTGAGAAAGAATAGACTTTACGTAATTATATAAGATCATATAAAATAACATATGATAACTTATGTAATTTTTTATGATCATATATAATAATATCCGAAATTTGGCGCAATATGATCTTATCCAATTCATATATCGCGCCAAATTTCAGATTTAATTATATATGATCTTATATAATTACACAAATCCATTTTTTCTCGGGTTGTTAATAATTAATTGTTATTATATATTTTTAATTGCTATTATATACCTTCTAATTACTTTATTCTTTTATTAGATTTCTACACTGGATTTTTCCTTATATAATTGTTAATTATAGATATGTAATTTTCTAATAACACTATGTATATAATAATGTTCAGCGCGAATTCAAACATTTGTGCTTTTAAAAATTTGATGAAATAAAATGTAGACATAGCATTCTATATTTATTCAAGCAAACCATTTTAATTTTTTTACACTGCATATAAATATTGCATAAATTATTTCTTACTTTTATTGGCTTCTAATTATATTATAGTAATGCAAGAATCATTAGTCATTAGATTTATCTTGTTAAAAGCAATCACAACATTGTCAATGTTGTGGATGATTTATTATATGCAATTATAAAGATTTTGCAAATGAATTGCAAGCAATTCAATCTATCTAATGACTACTTTCCATAAGGAAATTTCTAGTGCTTTTATTTAAAATTACAGTGAGAGCTTATTACGAGTGCCTCTCGCTTTTGACGCGCTTGTAACATGCGAATTGTATATATGTATTGTATTATATATAATATATATTGTAATAACATGCGCCCCTAACACTAATATTTGTTCGAGTTTTATTACTTCTACCAATATATATATATAGTTTACCCTTTTATTAAAATACTAAAAATAACCACATATGATAATATTCAATGAGTTGATAAAAGATAATCACACACATGTTTAGTTTTCTAAATATAATTTTGAAAATAAATAATAAGTTAAGAAATTAAATATTTTAGAAACAAAAAAAAAGATGATATAAAATAGAATATAATTTTTACACATCCCAAAAATAATAATTAAATTAAACAGATAATAAATAAAATTAATTAATTATTAATTAACTAAAATAAATGTTTGTCGTCTGCGTTGTTATACATAAGTTATAGCTAGCTTTCTAATTTAAAGCTCACTTTCGTTGCTCATTATTATTGAAAATACTGGGGAAAGTAGTTTTTAATTGCATTTAAACAAGATCGTTAACTTAATTTATTAAATTACCCTAGCATTTTCTGAGATACGTACGAAACTAGCAAAGAACATATTGACAAAAGATGTTTATTAAATGAAAACAACAAAAAATAGTTTTATAAGCCTTTTATTGAAAAACAACAAAACAATAACTTTTAAAAACACTAGTTTAACAATACACCAGTTACGCCGATGTTCATACAATGCTCGCTTAAACATATATACAAGAAATAAATCGTAGTCGATAAGCATTCGACTAGTGTAACAAAACATGAACTGTTTTTCGTAAGTTTTCTCCTATTGATAGCGAGATAATTTTATAGGAGTTAAAAATATGAATACAGGTATCAATATAGTACTTCGTTTCGGTCCAATTCAACTGGTTTTTAAGCAACGATTTTCTCATCACAAGAAAATAACATTCTATCACGTAAGATTTGGATGAATAGTTTGTAATAGTGTGAGTAGATTAATCCTAAGCAATCCTGATATTTAAAATATTTAAATATTCGTAATTATTTATCAAAAATCCCTATTTGTATGTACGATTGACCACTTTCTCGGCCCTTCTATCACAAATCACAATTTTTTTAAGATAAATGTTTTAACATATCTAGAGTTTAATCTATACAAAATCCGTTATTTGAAAGACATGCATTGCTAAGGATTATCTCTAACTCGTGTGATAATATATCGTGCTTCTTTTTCCCTTAGACACACATTAATGCTTTTTCGCGTGATGATAAATGGTCTTATAAACGGGAATTTTGATGGGATACGGCTTCACGACTGGAACAGGAATATGTTTCTCGATCGTGATGGGAACCGGCTTCTCGACAGGTACCGGTATGTGCTTCTCTACAGGATAAGGAACCTTCTTTTCTACCGGAACCGCAACTGTCTTCACTACTTGTATAGGAATATGCTTTGGTACAGGAACATGGACAGGATAAGGTTGCGGAACACCAATCGCTACCGGATGCGGCACGGCTATCGGCACTGATTTTGGAACCGGTACACCTGAAAGAAATTTATTCGACGCTATTAAAAGATATTTTTTTTTGATATAAATGATAAAGCAAGCAGAAAAATATTTGAACCTTTTTGATCTGTTGAAATTCATACAGAAAAAAAAGCTCAATATATAGATTGAGCTTTTTATATAATATTAAAAACAATTGTATCTTTTTACAATGCCACTTACTAGCAATATCAAAAATAATAATAATAATCTAATTATGGACTTAAAACTTTTTTTTTATTATTACATAATTAATAAATAGACACAATAGATTTTTTTAGTATTATAACTTCTGCTTCTATGTAAATTTTAAATATTGTTTGCAAAGTTTTTAGGAAAAAACGAAAGCAAGAATACTTTACCGATGTGTTTATAAACCGGTACAGCTATGGGCTTTGTCACTTCGACGTGTTCGGACACGGGAACACTGTGAACGTAATTATGCCCGCTGTCCAGCGAGATTCCATGGCTGCCTTCATCGCTGCCAGCTTCGTATCCACCACCGGAAGAAAAATCTTGATGACCACTGTCAAAACCGCTGGACGATTCTAAATGCCCGCTGGAACCACCACTAAAACCACCACCTCCTTGACCGCCTCCATAATCACTGCCCCCATAGCTACCTCCGTAGCTACTTCCGTAACTTCCTCCGTAACCACCATCATAACCGCTGCCGGAAGTACCAGAAATCGCTTGATCGGATCGATCGATTGCGTCCTGGATTTGGAATATTTGCATCATATAGTGTCTACCATCTTGGTCCACGATCACCGGCGTGGCCGTAACCAAAGACACCAGAGAAAGAAGCACCTGCGTTCCGTACAAAACGTATAATTATCAAAGATAAGAAATGCATAGTAATTTATGAGAAATATAATAATAAATATAAGTATAAATTTAAAGAAATATTAATATAAATATTAAAGGTATTATTTGTTACAAAAAATTAGGAATTTATAAAATTAAAAAATTAGGAATTAATAAAATTAAATCAATGCAGACCAGATGTTGACAAAAAATTTCTACGTAATTTTACGATCCAATTTTAGTTCGACATAAGTCTTATCATATTTTTAATTATCACCACAATTGATGCCGTACTTACGATTCTATTCATGTTCGAGCACGTATATTTCGACCACTACTGGTAGTGCAGTCTCTTGTGCGACTGATACATGTTCGGCTATTTCTCGTCTTAATATACCGTGGGGCCTTTCACTGTGATTTTGTTTCACTTCGTACACTACAGTAAATCACACCCACCAGTTGCAATTACACACACACACACACACACACACACACACACACAAATAGCAATTTAGTCGCAAAACACGATAGACCAATTTTAGCGTACGCAGGCGCGCTAATTTTTAACCAGCATGGGAAGAGAGCATAACGAATGTGTGGACGATGCATCCAGATGCACATAGTACACTAATTTTTTATTATTATGGTAATTATCAGGATAAAATAGCTTAAGTGTACTGATGATCTAATGCACGCGATTTTCCCTGAAACTTCCAAGAAACTCCATTATTTAATTTTCTTCAAAAAAAAATATATGTATATATGAAAATTAGTTTTATATTTTTAAATTTAATATAATTGTATTTATGTAACATTTTTTTATATAGAATACCGATTAAATTGTCAGATTTTAAGCTTTAAAGATATGATTAATGTATAATTTATACTTTGATAGAGATATTTTAAAATAACTATCCCCCAAATATAAATGTTTGACGTTTTCAAATCTATAATAAAAACTGAATATGATAAAACAATATAAAAATAAAAAAAAAATGCTTTCACACATTTAATTTAATCGAACTCGGAAGAGAAATGAAATTGCTTTATTAAGCTGTGACCATTTCCGAAGAATCAAAATTAAATTGCAACTCATATAATAATTAATCACATGCGAATTATTTAAAGACATAATTGTAAAACATATTAAGGACATATTATTAAACATTTCTAGAAATCTTTGACCAATCTGACGCTTCAGTTAATCGTTAATTTAAATCGTCTTTATTATAATCTCATATGATAACACGTCCGCGGAAATTACGCGGAAATGAAAGGAAGTGAACGTCCACATAATGCGCGTAAGATACATTATACATCATAGTGTAGCTATATACTAATCTATTATATACAGACTCTCAATAACTTTCTATATAGCCTTTCAAATTAAATATGACAACAAAAAATTGACACAAAATTATTTAAACGTTTTGCAGATTATTTATACGTTAAAAAACATAGTACAATCAAAAATAGAAGATGATTTCTCGTGTAAAAATAAATCGAAAATTAAGAAAAAAACTTTTTTGTACAAAAGTTTTTTTTCGAGAAAAATTATTTTTTTGATTTTCACGAATAATGTTTTTGTTTGATTTTTAGAGAATTAATATGTACATCAAAGTTAGTGCAAGATAAAAAGAGATAAAAGATTAATTCATTTACATTTATAAAACGTTACTTAATTTTCAAAATATGACATTCTTTTAAAGGTAAATAAGATCATATTAAGAAGAATAATAGAATATATGCATTATGAGAAAAAAAACGCATATAAATGCTATTTTATACATACTTTCATGTAGTAATAATCGATTTTTTTATCGTAAAGAATGCAATAGTTTTATGGAAAGAAACGCGCGTAAAACAAAAAAGAAAAAAATAAAAAGTTTAAAATTATTATGAAACTATTTTTACATTTTTTATTTGTTTCTATTATTAATTAATTTTATTATTACATAATATATCTCTAATTTAACAAACGTATAATAACATAGAAATAATATATTACATGTAATACAAACAATTTTCTTTATTAAATAAGATTGTTATTTGGCAATAAATAAACAACACATATATACATCTCTCAACAACTATATCAAAATACTACAACTATAAACAAAATCGGCGCTATAGGAAAATGCGTACAAAAAAATAAACATTGGCCTCTCGTATTATCAACAACGACGAATCTCTTGTTTGGCAGTATCTATAACTCCGGAGAAGTAATAGTGGCGAGCTTGCTACAGTGTCACACTCAACATCGTCTAGTTTCACGAATATGCTTCACGAAACAAAAATTATTCGTGTCTCTCTGAAGTCTCATTTAATTATTATAACACTTAATATACTCGACGACGGCGGTGTTTCCTCGTTCTCCGGTGGAAGATATGTTTGTAGACTGGTATATAAATCGGATATGGCTTCTCTATTGGAACAGGCACATGTTTCTCTATAGTTATTGGCATCAGCTTTTCCACGGGTACTGGTACGATTTTCTCTATCGGATACGGCACCTTCTTCTCGACCGGAATCGCGATGGTTTTCACGATCGGTACAGGGATAGGCTGGGCAACTGGAACTTGAACAGGATAGGGCTGAGCAACAGTTACTGCTACAGGATGAGGCACGTGAATTGGCACGGGCTGCGCCACTGGAACTCCTGTATTTCCAAGACAAATAATGATTTACTACATTTATTATACAAAGGAGATAAAAGGCAATCAAAAGCCAGCGCGGTAATTTGTGCGCATATGTTTTATTACAATTAAATTACATTAATATTTTGACTATGTGATAGACAAAATCACAAAAAACGATTTTTTTATACTTGTAATAAGGTAATAATTATGATATAATATTATCTAATATGCTTTCTTTCTCTATCTCTTTCTTTCTTTTTCTAACCATATATATAATATATGTATATATTTTAATGATAAATAACAATTTGAAATTGAATATAGATAAAAAAAATTGAACATTAAAAGAGATTTAAAAAAAAAATCTGTATTGTATGCACTTACAATTAAGAAAATGCACTGGGGAAGTGCACTGTGAAGTATAAAACTAGTTACATAGCAAAATTTCGTAATATATATATTTTAGCATTCAAACGGAACTTCTTTTTTGCGTGTCGACTAAATAAATAAGAATTTTCTCGTAGATACTATTCTCTCTCTTTCACAGATGATTTAAAATGCAGGATTAAGTATCCGATATGATGCATTTCCTTGTTCCGTTTTTTAATGAGATTTATTCATTATATAAGTTGCCGTCAATTAATTATAAATACTGATTTTAACGATTTATTATCTCTAATAAAAAAATATACTATTTGCATTCAATTATTTATATAAAATTAACAAACTTTTATATGGATTCTATGCTGTTGATTATGTATTAAATAGCATTATTAATGATACAAAAATTCCTTGTTTGTCTTATGTCATTATAATATTAAACAATTATTATTTTAATTATTAATTGTATGTGTGTATTTGTGCTATTATTAGAAAACAAGATTTTAATCGTCATTTTCTAGTATTTTAAATAATTTATTATTTGTTTAAAATATTTTGTTATTTAATCTATTTTACACTATAGTTTGTGGAATCTTACCAATGTTCTTTACGATTGGCACTATCATTGGCTTCGTAACTTCTACGTGTTTGCTAATCGATATAGGTTGAGAGTATGTATGAACATTTTCCATATTTAATTTTTGATCTAATTTTATGTGAAGACCGCCGTTATTTCCATAAGAGGAAAGCGATCCAAAAGGTGAGAAATCTTGACGAATCTGTGCGTTATTGGCGCTGGAGCTATAATTTGTAGCTCCATAATTAGACACTCTATGAAGATATAATAATTAGTAACAACATAATGAGGCGTCCAATTTTAGAAAATAATAATTACGAATATCAAATTTTCTTATTACGTCCTTACTTACCCATGCCATCTAGAATTACTCCCTGTAAAAGTAGCAAACGTTGTTTTTGTTAATAAACATATAACGAGTACCTGAATGGAGAGAAAATAATTGAATTAATATCTTTTTATTTTAATCAATTTCTATTTTTAATATAACATCAATTTTCTGAAAATTAGTAAAATAAAACATAAAAAATAATAAATTTAAAAAATTTTTATTTATTAATACAAAGGTTTTTATTATAAAAAAACGTAACACATCTATCACATTATCTATCTTTTCATAAAAAAACAGTAATACATTAATACATAAATGGAGATTACAAAAACAGATTTTAAGCATGTAAGATTTTTTTTCCAGCAATTCTTTATCAATATTATTTCTTATTTTAAAGAATATCATCTTTATATATATGTTTTTTATATAATGTTTTATTATATATTAAAAATTTATAAAATAAATTTCAAGATACAAATTTAAGTATATCACTTATTTTTCTACAGTTACGTCAAAACTCTCAATAACTTAGTTCTATGACAAATGTGCAAGCAAAGTAAAAGAACGTGACAAACACATCTTTATTCGCGAGCAAACATTTAGGTAGAAACGTCCGTCAAGGTATTCTTTCCTTTCTTCGGCAACACGTCAAACTTGAATCATCACTTGCCGCATCGAGATATCCGATATCTACAAAGCGCTACCGTTGTATCAGACGAAAGTATGGAAATATCGACAATCACTTTCGCCTATTGTTCGTCGTAAAGCCGGAACTCGCGCGCGAACCGGGCGGACGCGCCATGAATCTCCGCTTCCGCGATTCCCACGCGCACCGCGTTCCGGACGCGGGCGGACCCTATCCGTCTTTTTCTACTTACTGAGGACAGACGGTGCATTTTTCAGAACACGTCGCGATGAGATACGAGCGTGAACGGGACAACGAATAGAATACTGCGGATTGATTCCGATGGACCATCCGTTTCTATATATAACGCTTTCTCCCTCTCCCCTACTCATCCGGAGAGACGAGTCCATGAGAGATGTCTCTCGTGGAAACTAGACTCGTATGCCTACGCCTATATGCGATTAACAAATCAGAAACTCTGTTGAGCTTACTAGATCGAAACTTGATATTAAATCCAGTCAACCGAAGTAAGAACATGTTTTTCTGATCCGATCGCGAACTACATCGCAACGGATGCTGCAAAATATTGTACCAGTGATCCTCAATCGGACTGCTGGAAAATTGTGTGACATCATAACTAAAAAAAATGACTAATAAATTATATAATAATATTAAAGAGGTCAATAATATTAAAATAATAATATAAAAAATGATGCAAATGTATATTACAGATATATGTGTGGAGATTCAATGATGATGAATAACTTGCATAGAAAGCTATAAGTTTACAGAAAGCAAATTAATCTCAGCAAAAATTTGAATTAATAGAACAAAATCTAAATTGGCTAAAAATAAATAAAATCTGCAAAATATTATCGATCAAAATGCACGAAGCAGTTGCAATGATTGCCTACAATGATTGAACAGTGGTTCGAAAAGATTCGACATGATTTTTTGTGGATTGTTTATTCCGATTATTAGATAGATCTTATGGCACATAGATGCAATAAAATTCAGTGATCTATTATAAATACTACTGAAAAATGAAATGAATAACGAACGATTGGTGAACACGATAAGCGTTTGTATGAAATGGTCGTCATTTTATATATGCTCGCAAACGAATGAAAGTAATTTTCTCTTCGCCAAACGTTTTTTGTTCCTTCTCTTGTGCTATATCTGTAACAACCACGCGCAATAAAATAAAAATTATACGCGCACTGAATTTCTGCAACGAAGTGCAGTTCATTGTGCACACGCTTTACACGTCTTATCTTGCAATAGTTCTTGTACGAGCGAAAGAGAAACTATTTCTCTATTCAATTAGGAATAAAACATATTTTTCTAATTATGAAGATTAATATTTTTTTTTTAATATGTCAGTGCAATATACTTGTGTAAAACTTTCATTTATAAGTGCAAAAAGCCATTATTAATCAATAATCTAACTACATAATGACTAAGTAATGTTGTATTTATAGATGTATATATTTTGAATTATCCCGTGCATAATAAAATTATATTATATATCAAGTTTATCAAATTATTTGATAAAATATGTATGTATACAGGGTGCGGCATTTATAGTGACGCGGGCATATTTTTCGGAAACGAAGTGAGATATCAAAAAATGTTTCAGACAAAAGTTGCATGATTTCGAAGGGGCCACATGATAAAAATATGGATTTGACCTTAAGTGGTCTTTTCAAGGTGAGGTCAATGTGGTCGATGTTTTCTTAAATAGAACTCCCAATTTTTTATTACATATTCTTATAGCTTATCCCAAAAGCTTTCCATATGTAATAAAAAATGGGAAGTTCCATTTAAGAAAACATCGACCACATTGACCTCACCTTGAAAAGACTACTTAAGGTCAAATCCATATTTTTATCATGTGGCCCCCTCGAAACCATGCAACTTTCGTCCGAAACATTTTTTGATATCTCACCTCGTTTCCGAAAAATATGCCCGCGTCACTATAAATGCCGCACCCTGTATATATATGTATATATAAGTTATTCATAACTTTAGAATGTAAAAATAAATTTGTTCGATTGATTTTTCCATAGAAAAGTTACAAAAGAATAGATTTGCAAATAAAAAATCAATGGCTTTATTATATAAATTTCAAGAATTATACACACGAACAGAATTATATACAGGGTGTTTCTTAATAAGTGAAAAGTATTGCAGTGATGGATTTAGGATACAAAAATAAGAAAAGAAGTTTATATAAACATATAATGACTTTGTTTCCAAGTTACAGCCTGTTTTATTTTCCAATATTTCCAACTTTTCCACATACAAAAGTCTAGTTCTGACTGCATTACCATCGGAAAATCTATATATGAGATGCATGTCTGCCATTTCATTGTTTGACAAAGCTATAATTTTTACTTTAAACGTAAACTATTGCGTTAATAGCGCTAATGTACGATACGAATACTTTACTTTCACTGAGTACAAGATACGAACCGTACCTCTTACAATACATATAACACGTTTTGGTTTAACGTAACATGTAAACATGTTTATGTTTATAGATTAGCAAGACCTCAAATTTTTCAAATCTTGCAAATAAACAGCAAACCGATAATCAAGTATGCTGTTTTAATTCTGTTAGAAAATAAAACAGGTCGTAACTCGGAAATAAGGTCATATCAGATATATATTTATATGAACTTCCTTTCTTATTTTTGTATCTTAAATCCACCTCTGCAATAGTTCCCACTTATTAGGAAACACCCTGTATATTAGATATGCAGCATGTAACGGTGGCGTCTTATCATTTACTAAGAGATATTAATAACCGTATCGCCTGACTTTTACGTTAATGTATGCTATAAAAAAATCAGGTTGAAGCTAAATTCCAGTGAGAGTGGCTCGCACACGCAATAATAAAGGAAAGTAAATAAAACTGGGTGAAGGAGAAGCTAACAAAAAGACCGCGGAAAAGCTAAAAAAAGTACAACCGATGAAAGTATTATCCGGTTTGATGTGAAAGGTGTAGAGCTCGATCATTATAACGGCAGCATCTTCTCTACTTGCCGCAATAGTAAGGATCCAGAAAGAATAATTGATTTCGTTTAACAATAATCGCAATCTCTATGCTCATTGAGCAATGTCTGAAGATCGTGTGGTCATTCAAATATTTTCTTCGATTTTAATTCGGTTTAAATGCTTTTCCAAAGAACGCAAGCAACTCTCTTTTTTCATCACTTAACCTACCACGCAATGTTAAAAATAATTATATATCATTTAAGACAGTTGTATATTTATATCAGTTGTACAGCTTATGTTAAAAAATAAAAAATAAAAAAAGGTTCATACATTTCTCTGAAGCAAATATCGTCTTTTGCGCTTATAATTTAGACCATAATGTAAACATATACATATATACTGCATCTTTATATCGGCTAGATATATTCATACAAAGTACGAACATATTTAGAAAGTTCTTGTTATATAAATATTATATACATATTACGTATATAATATTGCCTACATATTATTATTAATTATAATAAGTTAATTGGTAATATTAATTTGCTATCAATCATAATATCAGTTTCATATTGTGTGTATATGTGAATAATATCTTTAAAAAATTTTTTGAAAACTATTTTTAAAGGTTATTTTTAATATTTTTATTTGAGTAATGTTTATGTTCGATATTTGATAGTGAAAGTGACACGTCCAAGCAGATTTGGCTGCCACACGCTTGACATTAAAAAAATCTATTAAAATACGCAATCTCTGTGATAGTAGTCTTTTAAGATATTGAATTATTGTTGCAAACTCGAGAGAGTTACAATGTATTACAATTTTCTTTGTTTTTTAAAATCAAAAGATATGTTTTTATTGACACTGCAAGCAAGTAGAAGGCTGATTGAAATTTAGATCCTGACATAATGTCATTTAATTTATGTTGGATTTATTTTTATTTGCGTGTTTTTCTCTGCTTTGTGGAATCGTCATTAATATTATGAGGATGTAATTGTCATTTATTTTTTCAGTGCCAAAAATTCGAAAAATAGCTATTTATTATTCTTGCGAATAATCGAAGAGGGAACGATAGAAGAGTACAGCAGCCCAAAGGACACGAAAAGAGTGTGACTTAGATTGAACGACTTTCTTCCGCCGTAATTGCATGTGGTTCATAAAACTATGGCAGCATCATAAGAATGACAGCCAACACGTGAGAGAGAGAGAGAGAAAACTATGAATAACTAAGAAAGGAAAAGGCGAGTGAAAGGATCTAGATATGTTCTCCGGATGTGTGCACTCGTAGATTTGGCGAGGCGGAATACGCCCAGGGATACCTGAGATGTGGCAGGATGCAATACATAGGTACTTGATTTCAACGTCACGTTCTACATAACCGAACACTCAGACTTTATTTCCATTGTTCAGCCAATTCTTTCGGAAATGATACTGGAACTTTCACTATCTGTTTTCTATATATAGAAGAGACATATTCTCACAATCAGTGGTGGAATAGATTAGAAATTTGAGAAGCAAATCTAAGCGAATCTTTTTGTGCAACTTGAGATATTTAAAGTAGAAAAGATTTAAAGATTAAAAAGTAAAATTATTACAGTAAATTATGTAAATTAATAAGCACAAATTAATGTGAGCATTTATTTATTGACGACTTTATTGCCAAATGCTGATAAACATATACATAATGTAAAAAATTAAGTAAATTGATTGATTATAAACTCATAAAATAAACCGTGTAAATAATTTTTATTGGTGAAGAGTCTTTATGCATAATAATCTTACAAGAAAGAGAGAGAGAATATATTTATAAAACTAATATAAATGCTTTTTTATGTATACCATCACCATAAATGTATAATATATGCCTGTATTAATATATGCAAAATGTAACATTATAAAATAATTTCAACCCCAGGGATGATGAACCGGTTTTTGTAAACTTGCTTGCTG